AGAACATGTAACACTAATTAAAAAAAAACATTTTAGATAAATTTGTGAAAAAAAGTATGCAGAGGATAGAAACGCTTTGGTTAAATTACTAGGCAGTCATAGTAGCAACTTTCACCCTGACTTTACTTCTTCAATCTSTCAACAAGCACAGCTAATCTGATTAACGAGGCAAAGATTAATGAGGCTCTGTCAACACTGCCCTCCAACACAGAGAGAGGAAAATTACCAGACTAACGTCTACATTTTAAAACCAGAGGTCTTCAGACTCGTTAGGTCATCTTAACTTATGTGGTGTAAACAAAACACTCCCAAAAGAAAGTTCCCTTCCCTGAAAAACTGAATTCAGAGATCAGAAACAGAGTGTAAAACCACAGGAGAAGCCTTTTAAATGGGACACGCTGACTGACCCGTAACGTCCAATTCATGAGTTGGGTCTGAAACTTTGGGCTCTTTTTGACAACAACAACACAAAAAAGATCAAATAAGACTGATCTGTCAACTTGTTTTTAACAATAAAGTCAAACAGTAGAGTTGATGTTGCAAGACCAAACCCTTTGGCAAATCATAAACCACTAAGTTCTAAATATTTCTCAAAGTAACTTGAAAAACAGAATACAGATCCTGCAGAGGACCCTAAGCAGACCCTTACTGGAGGGCCGCATTTCAGTTGAGCCCATCACTCACTCACCACATTACTTCTAAGAACTTTCTATTTTTCATGCTTTTACACTCCATCAAAAGGCAAAAAGCAGCATCATTTGCTCTTGTGCCATTGTGTTTTCTATCATGTTAGCAAACCATCTTAAACCACTGAAAAGTTTTCAAAGAAAATGAACAATTAGGAGGTGCCTCTTAGGGTTGGGCAACATTGGCAAAAAAAATTAATCACGATTAATTGTGGTATTTAGCCGATAACGATTAATTTGACGATTAATCCCTTGGAGTCCCTGGACACCCTTATTTCGAAGTGATGACCAATTTAGTGGGAAAGATTTGGTCTTTGTAAAAAACATTTCAAAATTGTGTGAAAATTACAGATTTCAGGATATACGTCATATTTTAAATTGTGTTGATAAATAAATTACAGGACTTTATTTTTAATGTTCGTCCTATTTGAAGCAGAGAGGAGCAACAAGCGGACTAACCAGAGTAATCCCCAGTCAGTCTGCCTGCTGGCATTAATCATATTAATCGTCAAGTGCCAAAACGTAATCGATTAATGTTTTTCTGACGATTAATTGCACACGATACGATTATGCCMAACYCTAGTGCCTCTACAACTTATTAGCTTTTAGAAATGACCAAATTCTWGACGGCTGCCAGACTAACCAACCTAGACAAAAACAAAAATGACTATAATTCAGTTACTTTCACAGATCTTGAGCTAGACACCAACAGYAGCAGCTGAGAGACCCGTTAGTAAAATATCTTGTGAACCAGTAGACAGATATGATTGAAACTCTCAAACTAATCATTGGATGTGTATCTATAATTGATTAATTTTAAAGACTACARCTGTGTTTGTGTTCATTAAAGTGCTCTTACACCCCTTCTGGTCTGGGACCCTGAGCTTTCACCTGGTTTGCTTATGATTTGAGCCAKCTTTAATATATCTGTTGTGTGGAACCATGACTTAACATCCTTGTTATGCACTGCAGAGTCTGCAAAGATGTAATATTAAACTGTGATAAAAAACTGATACAATTATGGTTTCTCCCTTTATTTGTGATGCCTTTTATTTCTGATAATTACATCTTTAAATTGGTTCAGTTCAATTCAAAAATACTTTATTGATCCCAGAGGGAAATTAGGTTGAGTTGATTTTGGGCAATTAGGTGGTTCCGAAGTGAAGCGGAGAAAAAAGATGTAGGGTTCTTTCTCAGATTGAAACAAACTGATCGAACATCATTTGACGCCACACTCTTTCACACTCACCGGTTTTTGTTTGTTTGTTTGTGTTAATTCTTTGTTTTACAACTAGAAASACAAGAACCCATGAAGCTTTTTTCCAGAGAAATTTGTAATCTTGTTTTGAAAGGTGATATGAATCAGTCTTGTCTTCATTGTCACTCATGAAGGCAGTTTACGCTTTCAAAAAAAAAAAAAAGGTTTAAAAGCTTTTTTAAAACATAAAGCACCTGAATCTGTACATTTAAATCTAACCAMTCCAGATGTTACATTTAAAGCAGCCCAGATGTGGACTGATGGCTGCTGTTTCTTCAGCCAAATTAACCTAAACCAACGGCAACAATTCCCCTGTTTTCGTTTCTACCACTGATTTCCTTGTTGCAGAGTGGGCGGGTTGTGTACTRTGGAGGACCAGCGGTCGGTTCGGGAAAGTAAAACGAACTTTTGGCAATGAGACCCACTCAGCTGTGCCACGGAACCACATGGAGGCTGAACTCCGTCCCAGTCTTTCAACTTCAGCACAGTCTCCAGCCACGTAAGCATCTCCATCTGCACGGCATCGCGACTGATGCAACAGTTTCCACACGCAGTCCAAAACCCAGCATTCCAATCCAGAACCAATGATTTAAAAAAAAAACTGTTTCTGGACTGCAGAAACCTTATAATTTAGTATCTCATCGAAATCTGCGCCTCAAATGGGTCAAACAATAAATGAAAAACAAACTTTTAAATAGCAAAGTAAAGCCCACACACTTTTCTCCCTTGAACATCAATCTGGCAGTCACACGCGCGCCCGAGCGCGCGCACACACATCATTATTTTACACTTAAACCAGCCGCACATTTACCGATGATGATGGCGCACGCGCTCATAAGTCCTATTTCTTTTTTCAGAGTGACTTTGTCGTCGTTGGAGTTCTCATCCTTCCTCCTCTTCTCTTTGTCATCCATCTCCTCCGTCCTGTGGAGCGCTTCTCTCCGCCTCGGTCCGGTTCAAGTTCTGCGGACCGAACCACGCACCGCTTCTCTCGCGCTGCCGGGTTGGGTACCCCCCCTTAAAATATCCGACAGAGGCGGTGCGCATGCGCAGCGATCCCAACCTCTCCTTCAGGTGMAGTCGGCTGAAAAACACCTGAACCTACAAGAGAGAGGAGGGATTTCACTTCCGGGTTTTTGGTTACGTCTCTGAGCTAGTTCTGTTTTTTTTTTTTTCTTTCTTTCTTTTTCTAAAGATCCGGTGAAAATGTAATTAGGTTATTTGAACACTTAGTTTTATGAGCTGTATAAGTACATTTACTTCAGTTCTTAAGTAGTTTGAGTAGTTGCAGTTTTACCAAGTATTTTTTAATCGTAACTTTTACTTTGTTACATTCAAAACATGAAAATTAGACTTTTACTTATTTAACAACTATTTTTAGTTATAACTTTAGGCTCACCCTGAAACGAGATGTGGACGCACCTTAAAGTGTTGACTTAACAGAACAAGAATCAACTGGTTCCACTCAACTGAGCTGAAAGCAATTTAGTGGAACCAGTTTGCTTATGTAAATTTAACACTTCCTTTCTTAGAGTGTGTAAAAGTACTATCTTATTGTGAGTAGTTTTTGTTATGTAAATTTAACACTTAGTGTGTAAAAGTACTATCCTGATTATTGTGAGTAGTTTTTTATTTTATTTTTTACTTTTAAGTACTTTTCTTATCAGTGAAATTCTTTTTTACCCAAGTAATTTTCTGTTACAGTATTTTTTTACTTAGATATTTCTTTCAAGAAGCAATTTATAGCCCTCTGCCCAATTCAGATACTTTTCATTAAGAAGTTAAACATATTTTAATCCCTATGGATAAATTGAAACATTTTCTTTCATTTGTTCCAGTTCATTCAAAAGCAAAACTTCCCTTCAGGGCTGAACCTCATTCCTTTGTGAAATTACTCAAGCATTTAATAAAACAGGTTTTGTTGTTATTTTCACACACAAACCCAACATCTTTCCTGCAATAAAGTAAATATCCACGACTCTGCTGGACAATTGGGTCACTTTAAACAGAAAACCTGAGAACAGTGTCCGTGGTGGTGCGTGAGGAGTTCATTCACAACAAAGATGCTGTAATGTCCACGTGCTCGTACAACAGAGGTAAGTACTTAAAATAAATAAGTGAAAGTAAAAATACCTTAACAGAAAAGGACTTCTGTAACAATTAATTTCACTCATAAGAAAAGTACACCTAGATCTTTCGTCAGCAGGCAATTAAACACAAAGTAATTCAGATGAATAATTTGGTAACACCAGCCTGTAACGTCTCAAGTGATGTTTCTTTCATTAGATGCTTAGTTCAACCACAGAGTCAACGAAACATCAGAGTATTTTATCACATCAAATAACAGGTGCTGGGGATTTTTCTTTAAACTCTCTTGCTTCTAATCCCTCCTGAAAACTTCATGCACTTGATCTTTTTACTACATTTTTATAAACACACTCATGGCAGACAATGCTATACATATTTCCTCAAACATTAGGAGTTTTTTTTCAGACACCAGTTCCTGTACATACAGCAGCAACATAGATTTCATCTATAAAGAAAGTTGACGTTTGTAAACTTGGACAGGATTCAACTTATTCTATAGCTCAAGGGAAAAACTGTTAGACATTTTTTTCCTGTCATTTATCTATATTTGTTACCATTTTTGGATAAACATATACCTGTTAGTAAAGCCTTTAGCATTTTAATAAGCTGACTGACAGCATTCTGAAAAATTATGTACTCCAAGAAAAAGAGACAATAAAAAAAAAACACAAAAAGTAACTTTCTGTAATGTAACGGACTACTAAATCGTGGCTTAATTTTAGTGTAAAAAGAAGTAAAACATGCTTCTACTGGGAAGTCTCCATTAGAGTGACAAACTGAAAGCATCTGCTCTACATGGACAAAAAAATGGTGGTCCATGGAAAAGACAGCATGAGAGGCCACCCTCTGAAAGGCATCCTTATGGACTAGCAAAAGCTAATTTTTCACTCTTTAAAACAAAAGATTATATA